CCTAATCACACTTCGAAATTACGCCCTGTCAAAAAAGTGGCGCTTTAATTTTGCTCACGAGTGTATTATAAGTACTATAGAATATTATAGTCTATTAGAGGATATTATAAATATCACGGTATTACAGCTAGTATTATAGGGTATTACAAGGTACTATACAGGGTGACAGGCAATCTTTGGAAGCTCGAAGTTCCACTGACACTCTCCAAGTGCTCTCAATTCCTTATGATGCACATAGTTGACTACTTGAGGCCTTACATCACAGTTGAGCCCCTAGTTTCAAACATGTTGTTTCTGGTTATTTTTATGAGCGAAAACGATTCAGGTAATGAAAACTGGGTAATAATTGTGTAGGTAGGTTCTTTTTTAAACAAATCATACAAGAAAAAAGTTCCGGAAACTTTTGGTTGGTAAAGGAACGACACTTTTCATACTTGAGTCATTTGTCTCAATTATCACTGAACGCGCATGATTTCAGAAGCTAGGATAATGATAAAACCTTTCCGTAACTTCTAAAATATTTGGAGGGCATGTCATTTTGGGCAGAACCAATGAAAACAGTAGAAAATTATTATTTAAAACAAGAAAAGAATTTTGGAGCATTCAACAAAAATGTTTTTATGTCTACAATATGCTGCTGTAAAATATTTTAAGTATTATAAAATATTATAGGTATTATACGGTACTATAAGGTCCGTGTACCCAGTATTATACGAGTCGGCGACCCCTCGCGGTGTGCTGTGTGATAGAGGGTACGATGTGTATGTGTGTGTGTGTGAGAGAGAGGGTACGATGTGTGTGTGGGGGGGAGTGTGTGTGTGTGGATTTGGCGGGGAGGGGGCACTCTTCGGGGTGCGCTGTCGCGGAAGGGGTCAATCAGAAGGGTCAAGCCCACGCCGCTTTGGCGAGTGGGAGCAGGGCAGGGGCACGACGACGAGGTCCTCGACTACCGGAAGGGTTGCTTGCAGACAAGAAGAGAGAGGTGGACTGGGCGGGGTGGGGCGCGGGGTGATCGGAGACGGGCGTTCCGGTCCGGAGGCCGCCGAGGGGGAGAGTTCGTGGAAAGGAGGTGGGGGTGGGAGGGGCTGAACTGAAAAGGCTGCTTGGCAGCAGGAAAATACCCAGGAAACGGTCGCTGGCCCCCTCTCGCGCTGGGCGAGGCGGGGCCGCTGCGCTGCGCTGCTCGCTGGAGCGCCGCTGGAGCGCCGCTGGCTGGGCCGGACCGGACATGCACACAGACGCACAAGTCATATTTGAATAATTGATTGGGCTGTGGAGCCCCGCCGCCCCCCGCC